ATGAGAAGCTTGGGAAGAAAAAAAAAAACGTGAATAAAGCGATATTTCAAAAACTAAGGAACTAGATCTCGCATATATAGACAGATGGACATGGCTAAATCTACTCAGCTCGTCATGTCGATCATTTATATACATACATATTTTATAGACTTAACTCTGCTTGTTACTAACATCGGAAAACTTAATGTAATCCTGTTCATGGTTTAAAGAAAATTAAACTACTACAACTCTGAATTCATAATCTAAAATCAAATAAAAGTCGATTAAGAATTTTTTAAATTGGATGTGATGCGGGTTGTCTCTTGCCTACTAACTCTTCTGAAGATTACTTCACAAACATACTTATTTATTAGTGTTCGATATTTATTTGTAATTAAACTGGTTAATATTTAATCGGGAGTCGCAATTGTAATATTTGTGTTTATAGCTATAATTAGATTTGTTACGTTCTTAATTTCAAAAATGTGTGTGTTATAATTGTTTGTAAAGCAATGCTTCTGAGGAACTTTGTGTTTTGGAACAATGCATTGATCATAAGAATCTTGTAATTACGCCTTTAAAGATATAAAATTGCTTTTCTGTCTTCAAAGTGACAAAGTTAGAATTTTTACGTTTAGCATTTCTGCAATGTCTTTATGAAATACACTAAATGTTTTTTCAAGTTTGCATAGGTTATTTATTATTTAGAAAAAATATAAACATAAGCAGTTTTTCATCAAGATAATAAAATGTTCATTAGTATTCAGGTTGAGCAATCAAAATAACTGTAGGGATTTTTCTCTTTTAAATATTTATATTTTTTTCATAATTATTTATATGGCATAAATTCGTTACGTGTATATTATATTTTTTAACTGTTATGTTTTGCATCAATTCAAAATGTATCTTAAATAAAGGCCAGCCCATTGTCATATCCATTTATTGTTACCTTCATATTTACCCCAGATAAACGGAGCAGCTGCATCTGTAGCCGGAACTTCGGCATCGTGTCCATCGAGTTATGGTAGCAAAATTGTTGTTTCAGGTAGTTCAAGTGAACGCCGTGCTAACGATGCCTCTGAAGCGGGACCAATCAGTAATATTGATGGCTCATGTGGTGGTGATGTGATTGGCAATACTGTCGCTTCCAAATCATCTATTCACGAACAATTACCATCATCATTACCTGCTGAAAATACTGAAGCAGCTGTTACACAGAGTTGCAGCGAAGTTGGAGCCTCTGCACAACCATCACTTCAGCAACCTGTTCAGCAACAAGTATCAATTCAATCTGAAACTTTAAGAAAGTCAAGATCGCAAGGTGGGACATCTTAAATTGCCTTTTACCATTCACAAATCATAAATCTAAAAAAATCGAGGTTGTGGCACCAACCAACTAACTAATTCAAGGATATATTATAACACTTAAGAAACTATTTATTGCACCACATTTTACTCATCTTTAATTCATTTTGCTAAATACGGACTCTGTGTCATGTAACATGTATACATATGTATATATTCGCTTTGAAGTTGAGTTGAATATCCTCAAAGTTTTAAATGTTAAACCCACATAAGTTTAAAATAAACTTCTTGAAAATTGTTATTCAAAGGCTCCGGAACTTTTGGTCGTTCAAATAGAGAGTTTCAAACTAGGGTGCAACAATTATCATAAGGATATAAATGTTAATGGCCTCTTTCGTACAAATTGGTAAGGAGGGTTCAAGTTCGGGTGTACAAACAGTTTATACTCTTGCAATTTGCAAAATTCAAAAGCGGTAATTTTTAGGTGTTAGCAAGTCTTTATTGTTTGATGACAATGTTAATTATTCGAGAAAATTATTAGATTACAATAATATTATAGGATGCAGGTTTGAGCAGATAGTATTTAGTTTTAGCATTAACTGTGCAACTCCATTAGACTCTACTAGAATAAAGATAGTCATTATTGTAGTGTATAATCATTATATGTTCAAGTTTATACGCTAACTTAGTTTCTAAGGTCGTAAATCGGCATACCATGGTATAAAGTCAACTGGAAGTGTGAAAAAGTAATGTAAGGTATGCAAATATATGGGGTCTAGGAGAAGTATTAACGTAATATAATGTAACCAGGGTTGCAAATTTTTTATTCCTAAAATGTTTGGATTAAAAATGTAATAAAAGAATAAATTTTAGATTCATGATATTGGGGTAAAAAATTCTCAATATTCCCGATGTTGAGGTTAAAAATAGATCTTCATTTTTTAATCTAGATATTGAAATTGAAATTAATATTTTAATCCAAGTTGTTCGGGATTAAAAAATGAAAACATTTTTTTTTTTTTTTTTTGATGAAGTACACAAGATGCTAATTCTAAAACAAATTGTATTTTAATTCGTAATTATATGTTTGGGATTGAAAAGAAACTCAGGTTTTTGGGATTAAAATGTTTTTATATTTTTTAGTCCGGTATGTGGAATTAATTGTTTTTTGTTTTATATTTTTAATCCCGATTTGTTCGATGAGGCATTTGTTTTTTATGTTTTCAAACAAAAAAACAACTCTGTAAATATCATAGAAATATACCCAGGATTTAAAGCTAGAGTGGTCACCACTTCAAAAAAAAAAAAAAAAAAACATAGTTTTGAGAAACACACATTTGAAGTTTTGCAACCAATTTATGCAAAGCTTGTATCCGCTTTCATGCCTTTGTTTATTTATTTTACCGATTACATGCATTGCTTTGAAATTGAAATACTTTTAACATGGTCTTTCTTTGAGGCTAGGTGATTCTCAATTAATTTCACGCTTTAGTATTTTAGTATAATTGTTCGCTTAACAGAATTTTGTGGAAGTAGTGTCCGATTTCGACCACCTGCATTAACAAACTCCTTAGGGTACCGAGGAGTACGTATACCACCTTTCATCAAGATATATAAACTTTTAGTTAAGCTATCGCTGATACAGATTTCTGAATGATCGCACAGACTGGTATCCGAAACTCAACTTGTTTCTTCATCCTAATCATATCGGTTCTCTGGAGCGTTTGAAGAAGTGTGTCACTCTTTACTTTTCTAAATTCATTTAAAAATACTTTTTAGGACATGATCGAATTCAAAAGTACTCCAGCTCAACTAATTTCAGTTTTGCTCTCCTTTTAATAAATAATACATTCACTGGCTTTCGAGTATTTGAATAACAATGTTTACTGGCGTAAAGTTGATTTAATGCTTCTAACTTTAATAAGATGTAAATTTTGTCGATTTTGGTCTTTGAACTAGATTCCGTGTAGTAGTCAAATTTATTTAGACAGGCCTGTTAATTTTTTTTTCTTCTTTATCGTTTTATCGTCTAGAAATTCATACCGGGATTCTCTTTACAGGCTTCCTCCTTATACTAGTCCTCTGCTTTTAGACTTCGTACAGATGCCAGTTGTAGGAAAACGCTTGACCAAATTCAATCTACACAATCGTTCTGAAGATTAATTTAGTTCTTAGAGTATCTAGACACTTTTACCCACTAGTAAAACTGATTTGAATATAGATGAGGCTTTGTGTTGTTATAAACAAGAGCTATTTGGGTTGAGTATTAAGGAAACGGTAATTACTTCAAATTTAATTTAGTTGTCAACTAATGATTTTATTTCCTTAACTAAACAATTTAGATATCTACATATAATACTTATATTTATATATACTTAGAATACTGCAAGAATTGAATAAGTCTTTGGTCTTACGATTTCGCCTAATTTTCCTTTCAAAGTACAATCGATTCAATAACTAACATTGTTACTGTTTATTGTTTGGTTTATCATGTTCTCAGTAGACGATACAAAAACTCTATGACTCCTTTTGAACCTTTTCTGTTGTCTTTTTGAGAGCTTTTGACGATTTTCACCGGTCTACGGTTAGAGTATCAGTTGGGTTTAGTTGTTTAATGGTGATTTTATGCCTAATCTATCGTCAGAAATCGGCGCAGAAACTTACAGACATTTGAATAGTAATCGTGACATCACCTCTTGTCAATCTTCCCAAATTACGTTAAATATATGTAATATAATACATATTACGAACATTATATATGTATAATTATATTTAAGTTTATTCTTACAACGCGGTCACTTCTGATCGAACAAAACTTCGAAGATATAAGCTCTTATTAAAAAATGGTCTTAACCAACTTTTGTAGAGTTTGACAAAACAAAAAACATCGCTACAATTAGTGTGCATATAGTACCTATGTACGAGGGTTGCCTTTTATATTTCTGAATTTGAGATCAAAAACCAATATTAATCATCGAAAATCGCTTTAATGTTTTTCAAAATATTCTTCTTTAAGATCTATACACTTTGCATGCTTTTGTCCCAATGTCGAAAAACTTTTGACACTCTGATTGAAGTACATATGTCCAAAACCCCTCTTCAGGTGTCGAAAAACGTTGACCGTAGAGAGAATGCGAACAGCATTGCGGTGGTGAAAAGTGATCCGTTTTCTGCGGTTGGTTTTTCCGATTTCTAAAAAGACAAGTGGCTAACAAATAGTTGTGTACCACTTAGAATTTACTGCGTTTTTATAGTGGCTTGGTTGCAACATAAAAAAGGTAAGATTTGCTAGGAAGTGCTTGGTGCGCGAACAACTTTTGTTGGATCCGGCTCCATCTTGAAACACCCAAACAGTCGAATGCTCTTTACTTTCGGGTTCATAGGCGTAAATCCATGATTCATTCCCGTTCACGATGCCTTAGACGTATTTCGAAGCACCGCTATCGTATTTTTTTTTTTTAACATTTCTCTAGTTTCTGACCGAGTTGAATATTTTAAATAACTGTAAGCAACCCAAATAGAGCTCAAACTTTACGAAACAGTTGGGAGCTGCCGGATCCCGAAACATAAAAAGCAACCTAAGTACCATGTATAAATTTTTTTTGTATTATTGTTAGAGTAACGATATTTTCACACCAATATTTATAAGCAAAATACTACACTAAAGTTTTATAATGTATGTAAGGAAATTGTTAACGTTAAATTATGTTTCGCAGATAAATTGGACGGCTCATTTTCCAGATCCAGATCATCATCTATGTCGAGCATTGATATGTCTTCCTCTGAATCTGTTACTAGTTTAGCTTTTATTGAAAGTTATGGAAAGAAAAGTGGTATGTAAAAGTGTATGAACGTCAAGGTAAAATATATCTCAGTTCATAGATATTTTAAAGAAAAATGAGAATGTGTTACGTTACGCCAAAGAGAAGATGAACTAATATAAACAATTTCAAAAAATTAAATATCCAACTTTTTCAATATGTTCTCTACATCTTGAACAGTTTCCGAACACTTTAATGTTATAGGGTAACACCTAACCATATGTTCACTAAAGCTGTTTTCCATTAGGGCATTTCGTTTATTGGACATTGGCCATTTTCATTACGTCAAATTTATAGTTAAGCAAATTTTGCGAAGTTTTTCGAAATTTTTTGTCAATTAGTGAAATAAATAAAATTTTACTTTTCAATCAATTGTATTTGACAGTTTGTTGATTTGGATATTTTTACTCCGTACTGTAAAAGCACATGTCATCGATTGTTCCATAATCAACTTATAGCGCAATTCAGTAAGCAGTCTCTAGTCACTATTTGAGACATTTTGAAGTAAAGTCTGAATTTGTCACAAAATGTTTTCTCAAATTTGTCACCTGATTGTTAGCAGGGCACAAATCTAAAAATAACTCTTTTTTGCCATTTTGAATATAATAACAATTTACTTAAAGAGATCATAACTAAAACACAAACCCTAAAAATAACATACATTTTGTAACTACTCTGAAAAAAATTTACCTATATTTTAATTTTTAATGGTAATTATGCTTTTTGACTGTGTTATAGTAAATTTAATATTTATTATCGATTTTAATTGCTCGTTTGGCGAGATTTTTGTGACTGTTTCGTACTGAATTGCAAAATCGTCTCAACTCACAAAAATTGTCTCTAATTTAAAATCTCAAATTTAGAGACTTGTAACTGTATCACAGTACAGAATTCCGGTATTAGTCTCTTTAAGTCTTACACTTTTTTAACAGTATATGCCTTTTATGGTTTACTAATGTAAATAAAAATTTTAATTTAACAGATAATTTAACACTCGTTCCTACACTTTGGATCGGAACTAGTTTTGGTTCTATTTTGACTCTTCTGATATCTTTACCTGAGAGGGAATCACGAAAAACGCAACCTGTGTTAGTGACAATTAACGGTAAGTTAGTCTTGTACATTTAATATAACTTTTATGAATTGATATCGTATTAAATTTCTTGAAGGAGGCCCACTGGTGCGATTAAAGGGTTCAATTACATCAATGTCATTTTTAGACTCATTTGGTTCCTTAATTCCTTATTCGTTTGAAGCTTGGCGTGATGATGGAAAAAAGGACCGTAAGTAATAGTTGGAGTAATAATTGATTTTTTTAAATATCAAAAATTCTCGGGAACTAGAATAGATTAGTTACTTATCTCTACACTATTTCAAAAATGTAGAAAATCGTGTTTCGATTTGCTTGCGTATTCACACATTTTATCTCCACATGACTCTTTTGTTTTAAACGGTTGGAATTTTACACAAACAACACGAAAACCCTTATTAAAATCGGTTTCATCTTCATGCTCCGCTAAGTGGAGCCGGAGCGGAACGCAACCGAAATTTCGTTTGATTTTGCGACGTATGATATTTATAATACTATAATTAAATACATAATATACCCTCATTCAAATCTATTTATATATTTTCAAGGAACCCCAACAAAAAGTAGTAGTAAAACGAGCCCAACTTTTACACCAACAACTGCCAACATAATATCAAGTATTCCGGGTGGAAATAGCAGCAGCGGTAACGCCAGCAGTAGCGGTATAAGTGGAAGCCTTAGCACTGGGCTAGATTCTTTTACAGATAGACAATATATAGTAATCACAAGTGAAAAGCAAACAAAAGTCTTCGATATTGCAAATCAGAGTTGTATTTATCGCATTAATTTATCAGAAATGGATTTTGCAGTCAAAGCGGAAACTATTTCAATGAAAGGTAATCGTAAATTTTCAATTACTTTAATTATATTTTGAAAAGTTTTTAGATTACTTTGATTATTTTTATTTTGAATTATCATTTACAATTTAATATATTCCAGATGGTTCTTGCTTGGCGACGTATCTATCCAATGGACATTTGATGGTTCATAGTCTTCCTAGTCTAAGATTACTAATGGATACCGATTTTTTACCCTTGATGGAATTAAGGTATATACATATATACTATACATATGTGTATATTTACTTACTAATAATATTACCGTGTTATACTCGAAGCAGAAAAGAATATTTCCAGAAAATATTTTATTCAATACACACATTACACCTAAACAGTAAATTTAATCACAATCACATCTTTGTCATGTCTTGTCTAGTTTTCAAACAAAGTGCAAGCAAGGAATTGTGGATCCAATGCTGTCTATTTGGGGTCAGCAAATTATTGTACACGAAGACACAACTCAGTAAGTAATGGAACTCATTTTCATTTAAACGTGAAATATAAATATTTTTTCTTCTGATAACACATCCGAATAGTTCCTCAGGCCTGAATATTGTCCTTCTCCTTTACAATCTCAGAGACCATACTTTTGCGAATTATAGCCTTTAGAGCTGTGCAAATCTGCACCCAGTTCGCACTGCGCCGCCACTCACCTCGAGTCGCCAACAGAGGACCTCCGCGGTCCCCAGGAGCTCAAACAGGCAACATAGCTCCCGTTCTGACGCTCGATATTACCATTGCTAGTGGTGGTCTGATAAATACCATCAGACCATCTGCCCATAATTATCTCGATCGAGAAACCTTCCGATTTTGTTTCTGTAGACAACCGTACCTTCGGTCACTTTAGCAAAGCTGGGTCGGCTTCACAGAATTTACTGAGAACGTCGATTCCGCAAGGTGATCGCAGCAGCTACCGCCCGCTTCATCCCGGCTGGAAGCTTTGTCGAACTCCGCCCAAATTTCCCAACCGAAGCAGCCGTTTCAGCTAATTTGGAGATTCGGCGATTGATAAATCAACATAAACCTATGAAATGGATAGAGCACCGGAAGTCCCCCAACCTCTCCACCAGCTTTAGTCTACTGTCAAGCTTTGTCTAACCCGAAGAGATATGATGGCCTAACTGAACTGAACAATTCAATGACCATGCCTCTTCGGACACGAAAAAATGTGCGTGCTACTTTAGTCTGCAATTCATACTGCACCCCTCAAAGGATAAAACCAAGTGATGTTACCCGACGGCTTCGCAAAATGCCAAAAGACTCCGCGCCACTTATTTTCATCGATGAGGAGTTTCAGGATGTCGTCAACAAATCAAAATCGTCTAAATCCATTGGCCCTGATGGAATCAACATGCTTATGTTAAAGCATTAGGCTCGACGGGAGTAAGCTACCTCACCAAGGACCTCCACCTGTGAGTGGTCTCACTACTGCCGCATGGAAAACTCGCCAACAAGGTACTGGAAAAGGACTGTCCGATAACTCTCCTCTCACCAGTAGTGAAGACACTTGAGGCCTTGCTACTCTCGAGCATGGATTCCGAAAAGTGCACAGTACCAACACAGCACAGAACGCGAAGATGTTCTTGGCCTCAACCTGTGTGGGAACGATCGTCGTAGCGAGGGATTTGTAAAAGCTTTTGACACAATCAACCACGCATCGCTGCCGCAGGACATCGAATAAACTGAACTGAAGAGTTGGACCATGAATTACCTGAGCGATCGTCAATCATCCGTACTGTTTCGAGAAGAAAATCTAAACTGTCGAAAAAGCACGTTTCTTGCGCTTCCCAATAGATGACGTCGACGAAAACTTAGATAATCCTTACAATCCTAACGGATAGGCATAGCTAAATCAGCTAACCCATCATGCATCATTTACATATGTATTTTATAGGGTCTCTAACATTTCTTTCTGTGTGATTCGGATTTCATGACAAATTTAACATATCTTGCTCAAGGGATAATTAAAGCATTTGATGAGGGATTGTTTTTTTCGCGACAAATATTATTTTAATAACCGCTATATTTCATAAGCATCCATGCAAAACATTTTTTATACAAACTACATATATTTTCTATCGAGTATTTATTTATCATATTTTATTATTAAGAACAAAATTATTTGTCGCGTAGTATAGTTGAGCTCAAGATTTTAAGACGTTCATATCCTCATATACTACTCCACCATATTAGATTAGGTTGTCAAATATCTCCTCTACGCCTTTTTGTCTTTTAAATTTAGCGGCTATGTATAAATAACCTACAAAACGACGCTATGCATGATTAGTTTGGATATTGCATTCAACAGTTATAGACGTGTAAACACGGAGTTTGGTATTTTGGGGTATGGTACTCTATCACTTCGAACTGCGGAGGAATGGTTCCGACGATTCAGAGCGATTAAAAACGATACCATGCCAGTCGGCGGAAGACCTGTGACGACGAATACCGATCAAATCATGGAAAACATCGAGTTAGACCGGCATGTGGCATCTGTGACATCTCCCAGAAGATGGGAGTTACTCACCAAACCATTTTAAACCATTTGCAGAAGGCTGGATACACAAAAAAGCTTGAGGTTTGGGTGCCGCATGATTTGATGCAAAAAAACCTTCTGAACCGAACGCCTGCGATATGCTGCTGAAACGGATGGTGATTGGCGATGAAAAATGGATCACATATGACAATACAAAGTAAAATCGGTCTTGGTCGAAGGCCGGTAAATCGTCGCAAAGAGTGGCCAAGCTGGGATTGACGGCCAGGGAAGTATTACTGTGTGTTTGGTGAGACTATAATGGAATCATACACTATGAGCTGCTCCCATATGGCCAGACGCTTAATTCTACCATCATCTGCGAACAACAGGACCGCTTGAAGCTGGCGATAGACCAGAAACGTCCAGAATTGGCTAACAGGAAGGGTATAGTGTTCCACTAAGACAACACCAGACCACACACTTCGTCGATGACTCTCATCCTGATGATTATCACCTGTTCTTGTCCATGGCGAACGCCCTTGTTGGTGTAAAGTTGAACTCAAAAGAAGCTTGTGAAAAGTGGCTGTCCGAGTTCTTTGAAAATAAGGAGAGGGGCTTCTATAAGGGGAGTATTATAAAATTGCCGTTTAGATGGAAACAGATTATCGAACAAAACGGCGCATATTTGTACTAAATCCAAAAACTGTAACACTTTATATAAAGAATTGAATGAAGAGCAAAAGAGCGGAAAGGAGATATTTGACAAAATTATATAAAATTTTGGTTTCTTAATTATATACGAAAATATGTTTTATTCTGATAAAGATAATCCAATTACTTAATTTATTAATTACTTTAAAATAATTTATTGATATAATACATTTTTTATTACAGAATTTCAAAGATATTTTGCTTTAGTCACAAAGGGCATGGATTGTACATGGCAACACCCACCGAAGTTCAGAAATTCACAATATCATCAGAATTCTGGTAAAATCACATAATTTTTTTCAATAAAATGTGCTTGATTTTTAGTATATTTCAGTCAATTTATTTTGGAGATGATGGGTGAATTATACACGTCACATGAAATGCCTGAGCAACCAAAGGAGAGCTTTTTTAAAGGCTTATTTGGAGGAGGAGCGAAAAGTTTGGATAGAGAAGAACTTTGTAAGTGTAGTCTAACTAATCATGAAAATGTTATATTATTTTTTTTACCCCATCCATACTGTTTATCCTTTTCATTTGATCGGTAATTTCTGTTTTAGTTGGCGAACAAAGTGGGAAAGCAAATAGATCAGTTGCCAAACATATACCTGGTCCAAATTTGGATCAATTAGGACAGCGAGCTTCTACTGCAGCCTCTGAGATAAGTAGAGCGCATCAGTTGGCAATGGAAAGAGGCGAGAAACTTAACTTACTGGAGGAGAGGGCGGAACGCATGGCCAACACAGCTCAAGACTTCAGTGGAACAGCACATCAATTAATGCTTAAATATAAAGATAAAAAATGGTATCAGTTGTAAAAATCTATTTTAAGATCTAATTCTACCACAGTTATTGTAATATTGCTTTTATAACACTTTCTACTACATCAAGTACACTTATTTAATTTCTGTTTTCAAATAGTAATGTTATTTATAAACTGTTTTTAATAAAAATTTAGACAAACATTTGCTTTTGTCAATTGGATACTGCTATTTCAGATGTCATATTCGAACAATGTTTCATCAATCATTTATCGCAATTTGGTGAAAGGTTTTGGATTTTTGGTGAATTCGGGTGTTTTATATTTTTGCTCATGCGCTTCTCCGTAAACTCAGAAATTTTGCAAAATGCATGTATGGTATACTGTTATCGCCCACGGTCGATCCGAACGACTACGAGATCATTTGACTGAGATAGTAAGACTTCCTCTGTCAATCTCGCTGCAGTTGTAATAATAAAAATTTATGAAATCTACTCCTTATCGGATTACATCAAACCCAGTTTTTGGAAAAGGTCTATGTAAGTACATCTGTGATTCTTACATTCTGATTACGTTTTTGATGCTCTAGAGTTCTGCAATTCCGTTATAATTTTTACTTTTCAACTATGGAAATTAAAATACCTACATATGGGCAGCTGAGCGACGTTATTCCGTAGAATAAATATTGCTCTTTAAATAATATTGTATAGAAATTAACTAAATCCATGTCCCATTATAGCACATATAGTTCGCGGTTCTGTCTACTTCGATACTCATTGCTCAAGCGGACGGCGCCAAAGATCCTGCGAAGAGACTTACAGTGCGTAATTTTGGTTCTTAAATGCCTACCGATCCCTAAGTAACACCTGTTGGCAAGAGTTATTCTGCACCTGATCTCCAGGCTTAGGTTATTGGTGGAATTTATGTTGGTTTCGAGATATATAAAGGCATTAACTTTTTCATATTTATAGCTATCAATTGTGACTTAGTTCACAAGACGAGACCAATCTTTGTATGTGTCCTCTAAGTAATTTGCTTGCCCTCGTTCACTACAAGACCAACCTCTTTCGCTTATTTTTCTAGGCTTGAAAAGGCTTCAATTATGTCTCTGATTTTCAGATTAGTCGCAAAGTCTTACTTTTGAAATATAATATTGAAAAATATGCAAGAGAGAGAATCACCATGTCTAAAACTTCGTTTGGCGAATCGAACGGCTCATAGACATCGGGAAGTACCCGATGGTTGTGCTCAACGTCATTCTGTATAGCCTTCTATGAGAAAGAAACCAGTGAATCTCAATAAAAATTATAAAATAAAACTTATTAAACTATATTCATATGAACAAAATTTTTGTATTTTAGTTGACATTAAAAATAAAATTATTTACAAAATATAGGACACATACATTTTTGAATTAAATTTATTAAAGAATACTTTATTTGGTTTCTTATCGTTTTGTCGATTGCGGTGAGTCGGTTCGTTACCCTGGTGTCCTTTTCTTGTGTGTGATAAGAATCGCAATTTTGAGGGTCGTAACTTATTGTACATTTTATGCAGATATTATGTAACGTCTCACAAACTTTAGCAAGTCTTCCACTTTTGTGGGGTGATACCTTCGTCTCTTGCCATATCCTAAAATTCTCTACCATTTTTTTAAGATTCCAATGTTTAACGATACATCTACAAAGAAAATTTTGTGATTGAGGATTCACAATTTGTTTTTTTTTTATACCTACGCTATTGCTACGATCATTTAGGTATCTCCGCACTATTTTTTTCATTACCATCACTTTCACTAGAGCTCAAATAAAAAAACAAAGTTTTATAAATTTTGATATTTAATTAGCTTTTGTTGTTTTATTGAAAATTTCGCACCAATTTTGACAGTTCCATATCTATTTTGACCTAAAAATACGATCCAAAGCATTGTGGAATTTAAAAAACTATTGTGAATTGAAAATACATTATGATCCGTTTGCTATCGTTTGTCTTAATGCCAATCACCATATACGATTAACGTATCACGTAATCTTTCGTATGTTTGCCGATCGGTGCACGGATGTACCGATTCGACCCCTGATTGGGAATTATCAGTGTGGCTGGTTTCAGGAAAGCACGAAAAAGAGCAGCCTTTATGCCGCGTTGTCTGAATTTGGTATCCTCGTAAAACTAATATGGCTGTGTAAACTTACGTTGAACAATATCAAAAGCGTCACGATCGAGAGAGACCTCTCCGAGACGTTTTTCTACCAAACGAGGTTTCAGACAAGGCGACTCCCTGTCGTGTGACTTCTTTAACCTGCTGCTGGAGAAAATAATTCGAGCTACAGAATTAATCGAGCAGGTACAATCTTTTTCAAGAATCTACAGCTGCTGGCGTATGCTGATGATATGGATATCATTTTCCTCAACACCCCCGCCGATAGTTCTGCTTTCTCCACAGGTGCTACTTTGGACTGAGTAGGTAATTGAGAAGTAAAGTCCTCTCCCGACGAACAAAAACCAAACACTACAAGTCACTCATTATTCCCGTCCTGCTATATGGTGAAGAGGCATGGACGATAACAACACCTGATGAGTCGACGTTACGAGTTTTCGAGAGAAAGATTTATGGTCCTTTGCGCGTTGGCCACGGCGAATATCGCATTCGATGGAACGAGGAGCTGTATGAGATATATGACGACATTGACATAGTTCAGCGATTTGAAAGACAGCTACTACGCTGGCTAGTTCATGTCGTGCGAATGGACGGGGGAAGCAGAGGAAGAGGCAGGCCTCCACTGCGTTGGAAAACCAGATGGAGAGGACCTGGCTTAGATGGAATCTCCAATTGGCGTCACGTTGCGAAAAGAAGAAACGATTGGCGCGCTGTTGTTAACTCGGCTATAGTCGCGTAAGCGGTGTCTACGCTATTAAAGAAGAGTATTAATCAAAACAAATATCCATTTTAATTATTCACCTTTTTGAGAGTAATAGCTGAATATAATTGTTTTGATTTTTCGATTAAAATTTTTTACCTGTCTAATTATCTGTCAAATCTACAGTTTCTATATCGGCAACATCAAGGAACTTCAATTGCAAATACGTATACCAAAAACTAGTTTGATTGATCTGAAGTTGAATTGTTTTAATTTCAATTCACATATGCAGGAATAAAATGTATTCGGAAATAACTGCTAATATTCTCTGCTGATAGATTAGTTTAAATGAAATTTTTAAATCTTTTCTAGAAAAAACTCATGGCTGCCAGGTTTTTAATTTAAAAAAGCGTTATCTATTAATAACACTATTTGTTTATTGCAGCATGTGCGGGTGTTACTGGTGCAGTTAGGTCATGTTCCACCGATGCGCTCAATGTGATCCTGCATCAACATCAACTACCAATGGACATTTTTATTCACAAAACAGCAACTATTGCGGCGATAAGAATAAATGATTTGGGTGATTGGAACCAGCAGAACTACGGACATAGTGTAATCTTAAATAAGCTCACTATTAATAAATCAGACTCCCAAAGCTGGATTTCAATAGACACTTCCAGGTGAGGATACCATCTAGAAGAGAATGAAGAAGAGGTTCAATAGGAGAGGAGGATACCATCTCAGTCTATACCGACGGGTCCAAAATGGACTTTGGAGTAGACATGGGGGTATTCTAGGCATATCTCTCTCTATACGTCTACCGAACTCGGCTAGCGTCTTTCAAGCAGAAGTACTGGCATAGAAAAAGCCTGCGAAGTTCTATTAAAAAACCAATTGAATGTACATAAAGCAACTATATCTACGGATAGCCAGGTGGCGCCTTGTCTTCACCCATGACAAATTCCAGCATAGTTCGCAACTGCAAGAGAGCACTACGCTCAATAAAAGACAAGCTCCACCTAGACTTAATCTGGGTTCCCGGCCACAGGAACATTCTTAATAATGAAAAAGCAGACGAGTTGGCAAAGGCAGGAGCTTTCCTCAACGAATAAGAGGTGGAGCTAATACCAAGCCCGCTAAGATCGATCAAAGGAGAGATCAACAGACAATTTCAACAAGTTGCAAATAACAGATGGAAAAAGATTACAAAAAAAAACAATTATGGCCAACATATAACAGGAAAAGATCCAATGACTTATTAACTAGGTCAAGAAAAAGTATTTACAGAGTAACAGCTACCACAACAGGGCACAACATCTGAGGGGCTGCGGAGTAGCAGGGAACAAGGAAACAATCTTCCACTTTCTCTGCGAATGCCCAGCTCTAGCACAGATCCGACACAAAACACTTGGAATCGCGCTCAAGCACCAAACCTTGAATGGATTTCCACTAAAAGCATATCGGAGATTAGTAGTTTCATAGAAACCTCTAAATGGTTTGAGAAAGAAAGTGAAACGTAATAGCAGATGCAGGAGGTTCCACGAATAGTGTATCAAAATGGCACATTAAGTGAGCCCGATAGGGCTGCACTCCTACCTACCTACCTATGTTTACCACATGGAGTTTCGGTTGAAATTGAATGAACACTAATACCCATTACTTTTAATACAATAATTTTTAAACTTCTGTCTAGTTAAAACCTTATTTAATGATGCTGTGTTTTTACGTTTATTAAACTAAAATAATTGACTAATAAGAAACAAATAAAATTGTAAAGGTTCATATCTCCGACTACATCGTACACCTCAATCGCTTTATACCACTCTGTGTACATTTCAAGTAAATAGTTTGCAATCATAAATACTTTCTTAAGCTCTTTCGAGGTTTGTCAAAGGTGTATTTTACCATTGCTGAACTTATAAAGATGTTCCACAATTTGACTCACGTTGATTAATTAAGTAATCTAACATAAGCATTAACCGGAGACACACCAAGAATTTCACAAATAAAAAAAGCTTTTAAAGGGCTAGTCTGAATTTTGTGTTTTTCTTTCTTACCTTTTTAAATTATATCCACAATTTAACGACTAAACAGAAGTATCGAATTTTTTTGGAATTATTTTATTTGTTTTTATAATGTTTGTGCATTTAGATTATGACGGGTATCCGTATGGAGTTCCGTAAATATCATAATTTTAAAAAATATAATTACACCAAATCGCGTTGATTACGAATGCATAATTTTATAAGGTATATCATGAAATAGACACACATTTATACAAATCTTTCCATTATCTATTTTTTTAGGTATATATATGAATGTATTGTTTTTTCATTCACATTGTTAGTACTTGTCAGAAGTGTTCCTTTGATAAAGTTTTTTCAGCCCAATTTATAAGAACAACATCTACAATAATAATACACCCAAATTTAAAAAATATATATATAAGCATACATACACATGGCATAGATATCACTACACAACTCGTTAAACATACATACGAGACATTTAAAACATTTATAGCTTAAATATAATTTAACACATAATATAAATTATTATTTTAGACGCATATTCGAATATTCTTAATTAAACATCACTTCACACAACAAATCCATTAAAACACAGTTTCTTTATATTCTTCCACATAATAACATCTAAAATTAAGCTTTTACGCTGGAATATATGAGTATTTAAACCATAACAAAAGCATCTTTTCCGCAAAACAAATATGGAAACTGGTCAATCATCGTCTGCACAATATCTTCTAAATATGGCCGCAATTGCTCAAAATGGCTCATATCCGTAAAGTCAATAGGAATCAGAGTTGGCCACCAACAAATTGCCAAATTTTTGCTATCCATGCTATTTAGTTTTGAATTCTCGGATACACTATAATAATACAAAAATTGTGAAACATTACCTCCTGCGACTCATTTTCATCGAATAGTTTTATACTTACTGAACAAAGTGCTCGAATATGTACTTCAGGATCATAAAATTCATGGGCGGTAATTTCTGTAACAAAGTCTTCAATAATATCAAACGGCAACTCCGATCCGTTTTTACTTCCACATTAATTTTAGATGAACCAATACCTCGAGAACCTTTTAAATGAAAATTGTAGGTAAACTTGTTAAACTCCACAATGATAGAATATGTCAATACACATTACCTGCAATATCTTCAAGCTCCTTAATAATATCTTTGCTAAATAAAGGAGGTAAACGCTTGGAAAAGAAGTCTTTTAATGCTGTTGCTACGGCATTAACTGGAATATCAAGCACATCAATTACAGTGTGTGGATCTAAAAGATAGAAAAGCACAAAATACGACAACGTTTACAAATGATGTAATTTTAATAACAAGAGCTTTATGTTTTGAAACAATCAAAGTATTGTTGAATACAATTTGGAAACAATCCAGAGTTCTTTCAAGAAAAAATCAAACCATTAGTATATCGGTGGAAGAGTAAATTATCACAAGTGCTCTTTAATTTGAAATGAAAGGTGTGTTTTTAGACATGTGGGTTTTAAGAAGCAACAAGTCGCATATAATTTAACGTTATGACCAAAATTATTAAAATCAAAATCAAAATAATAAGTATTCGAAGCATCAATCGTTCCGGGCTTATCTGCGTAGACAATCGGCTTCACAATGATTGACTCTACCTATAGAGTACAACAAACAGTGACTTTTTGAAAATGTAACGGCGTCTCAATAATGGCTTGGTGATTACCATTACTCCAAATGCACAGTTTTGTTTATTAACGTACCCAGTCAAGGATTAGTGAGCTTCATCGCAGAAAAAAATGCTCTTCGCGAACCGAACCGGTAATTCCGTAATCAATTTGCAACACTTATCTGGAGTAAGACTGTTCATTATGAAATGGAACTAAACTGTATATAAATGAAGTAACAGCTGTCTGAAAAAAGACCAAAGTCTCATTGAAAATCTTACGTCTATAAAAAAACCAACAACTTTATATTAAACAAGTACATTCGGGAATTGTGCAAATTTTCACCCGATCTCAGTCATTCTAAGTACAAATATGTACCGTTATTAGAAAAACACGCTCTCTCAATTTTATTAAAATGACTCAAATATTGGCCGATATATGCGGTATAAAGTCACCCGGAAGTACGTAAATCGTTGTATTAGGTACACGGGGGCTAAGGGTATTAAAGTAATTGCTCTAGGCGAATTTGTTTGTTGTAGCTTTAGCGGTCTAGGAGATATATTATGCTACTGCGATCCCCTGCGCAAAATTACAGTTCTATGTCTTAATTTAGTGCTTAGTTATGGTATTTTATAGCGTTTCATTTAATGGCGTTTGGTGGGCGTGGCAGTGGTCCGATCACGCCCATATTTACACCCGTACAAGTGTCGAAAAAATGTTATGTAACGTATTTAGTTGAAATAAGTCGATTATTTCTTGAGAACCACTTACTATTTCGGGTGTGAAATTAAATGTTTCTGACGCAATTATTTGTGGAGTTATCGTCCGTTTTAGCAATTTTCAACATATCCGGTACTGGGCGTGATTGTCATTTGATTTAACCCATTCTTATAGTATATAAAGAAATGGTCAAATGGTTTCCTTCCAGCAAATTTGGTTTTAATAGCTCTAGTAGCTTGTGAGAAATGCTCATTGAACCTATTAGAGGATAGACCCACACACACTTTTTAAGAATTTTCAGCCACAAATGCTCCTTTCCACTGCGATACGTTGTACCGGTTGATGGTTTTGTATCTTAAGTTGGACCTTTTTGATGACTCTATTTTGCTATATCTATCTGGATTAGTATTAGGTGTTACATAACCGGACACCTCCCATAACCGGACAATTTTCAAATTTTCATGCTAGACTATTCCTCTAACCGGGCATGAAAATATTCCAATGACCGAGGGCACTATTCTGGAAGTATTTCGTTCAAATTATTTTTATTGACCGGGTCTCCGGTTATAAGATTATCGAAGCAAATTAGGCTATAATAAGCAAGAAAAAAGATTAAAATTTTACTTTTAATTTATACTTTAGTGAAAAACTATGAATATTATATGGCTATGATATGGTTTCATTTTCCAAATTTTTCCGTGATTTGAGCCAGTTTGTCTGGCTCGGTTCTTCAAAAATCAAGTAGATTTTTTTTTTGTCCAATCCAGTTTGCGTCATAATTTTATCGAGACTTTTTCCCAATCGCCTAAAAGTTTATGGAGCTTTGGTGTGACTTTTGGAATCAAACTGGGTAGAGTCTTTAAGTACTTGAGTGCCTGCTTTATCGAAAAATCTCTAAATGCACAAATACGCACAAGTCAACGAAAAACTTATCCTCAATGCATTTTTTTTCTTAGGATTCTTAAAATTTCGTTATACATAGTAAAAAGGAAGTACACGTTATTCTAGTATTAAGGTATTTTAATTTTTTTTGTATCAAATATAAAGGCATATGGGCTCAATTCTAGACCTTTTGCTAAAAATAATGAAACAAAATCAAGGATTTCTATGTAAAAAATTATTGACCTTATAGTCACTAAATCCGCTAATCTCTTAGATTAACTCGCCCAATCGCAAATGAAATCGAGTTGAGTTGTAATAGGGTCAGAACATTATGTTGAAAATCCTTAATGCAATCACTCTTTACAAAACTATAGACAACCAAAATCTAGATCTAAACACAACTGCTCTCTTAAAACTCTTATAGAACTGAGTTAAGTTATCAATCATTATAATAATATGTGAAAAGCAATTTTTGTGTTTTGTCCATATTCACCTACCTTCTTCGAATTTTTGGAAAAGCAAGTCAACGTGACCTCGACTTCCGGGTACTCTATATATTCCTTCCGAGTCAAGACCCTCTTTCTCAATAAATTCGACACATCTTATAAGGAATGTTGGGATTTCATCTTTGTCCGAGATTAGTAATTTTCCAAAATGAGATTCAGTATTGTCTGTTAAGCCTTTGCAAGCTTGCTTCAACTTTCGCTTGTGTTTTTTCTCTTGTTCCTTTTCCTTTTCTTGCAATTTACGTAGTCTTGCATTGTCTTCTTTCAACCGACGTTTTTCCGTCTTTTCGAACTCCTTCAGAGATTTCGGATTAATATTAAATTCTGTCAAATTGTCTGTTCCAAACAAATTGATACTTTCAGGAACCATGGAATACTATAAAACAACTTTAATTAAAAAGAAACTACGTAAAAATTAATATATGCTTACATCTGGTGATTTATCGTTCTTTACAAGCTCATTGGTGCAATGTTCGGCCGATTTTTCTATGGAAAAGTTGATATGTGAATCTATGCATAAATAACTAACAAAAATTTGCCTTACTAGCATCTGACACAGCTCGATGATAATGTTGAGGAATCTCTGGTGGGCTTACATAGGAGCCAAAGAGTGGAACCCTTGGTGTTTGTACGGGGATGGCAACTTTCTTTTTCTTGGTTTTCTTGTTGGTCTGAGGTTTTTTATTCATCTTGTAGTATGAGCTATTCTGCTGACGCACTTTACGTTCGGTTGAACTTGCACAGCTATCGGACTCGGTACAGTCTTAAAAAACACATATTTATTAAAAGTTTAAAGGCTCTTTGAAGTCGTAGTACAAACCTTCATTTTCATAAATTTGTTCGTATTCAGCCAATTCCTCTGAATCATCTTCGTCACAATCAAGTTGAGTATGATTAAAATGCTGATATCGTTTTGAGCATTTATCAGCATCAGAAACTGGCAAAAATGTGTCACCTCCAAAATTCATTTTAGCTACTGCTTCACTTACGAGTTGAAAGTTTTTCATATTTAATTTACCGGGTTGCTACAATTCAAAATTATAAGCGTATTAATTATTGCTCTTTTTGAGTATATGTATATAAAAACACTGCGTACCTTTAATGTTTGACTCGGACCTTTTGGACGAATTTTATTTAAATTAGAATCAATGTGACGACGACCAGTTGTATAAGCATGGGTGGAACCACTAAAGTTGTTCCAAATGGAATTTTTGTTTAAATTTCTTCGTGGTTCATTTTTATCCTCCAGCCACTCTGCAAAAGAATAAGTAAATTGATAATATCACAACATTAGAGCTATAATAATCGAGAGAGAGTTTTAAACTATGACAATAATGTAATATTAAAGAAATAATAATTAAGAACAAACTAAGATACTAAGAAATAAAACAGGGTAACTAAATGAAAACATCACAAAAAGTAAAATATAATATAAGAAATGAAATCAAATAAATACCGAAATCATTTGCATATAAATTGTAAGTTTTTATATTTGATTGTTGCTATTTGGAAATCGTATCTGTCAAAACGTTTCAAGTGAAATAGATAAATTTTAGCAAAATACGATATTATACATTATAAAAGAGGCAGTGTTTGCAGTGCGTGATTCAGGCGGAAATCATTTTTTTTATAAATATAGTTTTACAGTCAAAGCATTAGTTGTAAATACTCAAATTTTTTGATAAAATAAAATATGATTGAACATACTCAGTTTGTTTCTCAAGGAGTTCAATTTATGTAGATGCTGTTGTTTTGATCTTATTCTAAAATTTGTGGCATAAAAGGAGCATGTTTTACATTTGCTGCTTGTGCTAATCAAAGACGAATCTTTCAAGAAAGCATTCAAAAAATTCCTCCCTCTAATTAACTCATTATACAGCCATTTTCTTAAGATATGAATAATTTTAAGTATTTTGTAAACTATTTCTAAAAGTCCGCTACTAAAAATATTTGAAATTTGTTTTAGTTTTTATGCCTACATCGATATTTCCAATGATGAAAACCATATTTTACAAATTAAACATATTTTTTTAAATAAAATTTAATGTTTACTGTATTACCTAACAGTGTAATTATATGAATTTCATTCACAAAAATACCTTTTCGACGAATTTGTATGCTATTATATTTGAGTTTACATTAGAAATTCGCTATTTTGTACTTGAAATCAGGATGTTGAAAATAAAAGAAATGAAGTGAATTTGCTTGGCGATCAGTGAACTCGAGTTTTGGGCACGAAATATTAAACTATCTAGCTTATGGACATTTTATTTTATCTCTTACAAGAGTATGTATTTTGTGATATACTCGTTTATATGATTGTGTATGGAGGAAAACTATTTAAACAGTGAAAAACAAAATAGATAAAGGAAAAAATTTTATGAAAAACAGTGAATAAAAACTTTTATAGTTCGCAAAATTATAACAAACGTTACAACAATGTACAATAAAACAAGCTTAAATCAACCTGCTTCATGTGTGGCCAATGAATCCTTTGATCCACTTACATCAGCTGCTTAATGAAGGCATGAAAAAATAATTAAGAGCATTAAATTTGCACAACTTTCAAATAAATAAAATAGATTACATGTTATTTCTTCCAAACTAGACTCGGAAGCCGATACGAATTGACTCTTATATGTACACGTTATGAGTTGATGATCAGGTGGAGCTGGCTCTGGAGGAGTTGTTGGAGGTGGGAAAATCTGAAACCCTTAATAGCAATTTAATAGTTTACTGAGTTTTCTAAATTACTCATTTTGATTGAATATAAACAGTATAAACTAACATATCGATGAACTTAATAAAAAAACTAAAACAAGTAACTTAAATTAACTAACAGAGTATGAGATAAGCATACATATTGAAATTGATTAATTTCCATAAGCAAAGTTAGCCACAAATCACAATATCAGTAATCAGTATGCACCATTATAAGTTTTTGTTTCAACGAAGTTACATTTGGTGGATGGAAATGATTAGCGGATTAAATATAACTATGAAAATCAGAATAAAGTGCCATATTTCTTGTGGTTCAGAAAATATTTTCTTATCAAATTAAAAAAACCGACCGATCATTGGTACGTAGCTCGAAATAGTCCCAGCCAAACTTTGCTTTGTTTCATATATTCTTTTACTTCGATAGTTTTGCGATTTGTGGTGAGCTTTTACTTACAAAATTAATCAAACATATATTCTCAACATCACTTACTTTGGTGATGGTGTTTCGGCTTTTCGTTGTCGTCGTAAATTTCATCTAAAGATATGTCCCTTTCCTCTGTATTCGTAAAAAGAAATATGCAAATCTTATCAATTACGGCAAAACTCAAAAAGTATATTATGTGTACATATTGCTAAAAAAGGTTGTAAATTTTTTTACAGATATAAAATGCGACAGCGAAATTAATGTGAAAATCCATATATGTATATACATATATATGTATCTTTCGAAGAATATTTAACTTCAAAAAAAGAAACGCATACAATTTGAATGTCTCTCTTATGTATATTACTAGGTTTTTAGAATATATTTTCTGTTCCATATTTTATTTTTTAATATTATCAAATATGAATTATAAGTATATTTCGTGATTTGGCTAACCCAGTGTAGCAATGTGGCGACTCACAAGTGAAGTTTGACATTTTTGATACATTTTGACAGTCACTTAAAATATTCATTCCGGTCAAGACATAGAGTTAATTCGCGAACATTTTCGAGCGATTATTTTTTACAATTTTCATCATACCTTATCTCAGCAACAGTGCTTCGATGAACTTAACCACTGTTATTGATGATGTGGTTAATCTAATTGAGGTTGTAGAACACTTCAATATGAATTTCGTGAAGGTCGTCCAAAATCAAGCTTTGTTCCGGACACTGCTGTGCTCAAAACTGATCGTCACATGGTCGATCGTGGGACTGAGACAACTATGGGGTTTAGTGGGATCAACATACATTCAATATTACATGAACATTTAATTGTAGCAATTTTTCTTCACTGGGATCCCACATAACTTTTTGATCGCTCAAAAAAGGCTTGTGCCGATTGGTCGAGAGAAACGTTAAAAAAAACGCGCGCTATCTCGAAACGCTTCTATGACAACGTGAGAAGTGATGAATAATGGATTTATACGTCTGAACCTGAAAGTAAACAGCAGTCGACTGCATTGGTGTTTCAAATGAGCAGAATCCAACAAAATCATTTCGCGCAGGAAGACCTTGAAGCAACCAGTTGCCTGTTTTTATGGAAAAACTTAGAGTACATTTAATCTCTTCACTAATGTAGCCGTTCTAACTGCCATTAAACAGATGATAAAACAGATGTTTTCGCCATTTAAGAATTCACATCGCTTAACATTTATTAAAAGAAAACATTGTTATATAGTATTTTGTTATAAAAGCCGTCTTCTTTTAAATATTTTCCCTATAATGGAAATAATGGACGCATTTTTTTACTTGGGAAATCGATTTTCAGATGAATTTAGGATTACTGTGTTTAATTTGTTTGTTTAAATTTTTCTCTTTGTAATGTCTAAATCAGAAGTGATAATGTAGTAGATTTCCATAGCTGACAAGAGAGATTTATAGAGTATATCAATTTTAAATTACTTCGATGAAGTGGTTTTGAAATATCAGTTTTGTATGGCGAAATCTTGTTAGATTTATAAGATTTGTAGGATAAACTACTCAACAGCCGAAATCGGCATAATATAAGAAGTCAAGGTTTATCCACACCTGAGTAATCGATTAATGCGTTCAGAACGCATATTGTGGTAATATATCAATCAGATTGGAAAAAGTGCTTCGAAAAGTGGTTTCTTTCTAAAGCTTGTAAAAGTGCGAAGATCGTTATGGAGAATATTTTGAAAAAAAGCGATTATCGATGATTAAATTTTGTTGTTGTTCTCTAATGTGTGGTGTTCTGTGTTCTCCAATAGAGAAAAGAGTGTTCGAAAAATAACCTATCTTTATATATAAATCATACAACATGCAGCATTAGTAAGATACATTAATCTTCTTTCAAACGCATGTAAATCGGCCATAAATTTACAGCCACTTCCAATAAAAGAAATGGTGTGAAATTATTCCATTTTTATAAACAGCAAATATGAAATTTTGTGTTAAACTTGAAAAAATAATTCTCTGAGATATATGAATTGATGAATAAAAAAAAACTGGAAATAATAAAAGAGGTCGTCTAGAAGCTAGTAATCGTGCTAAATTGGTGGAAAAATCCGTGAAATTATTGGTATTAATGCGAACTTTACTACGAGAATATTTGCTATAAAAGAAAGAATATTTTCACAATCGTGTTCGAGGAACTGCTCCTATATTAAAACTATGCACAACTCTCTGTTTCCTTACTGATAGTAGTTATCAAAAATGCAATGGGAAGGACGAATGATGAACTTTAATCTAGCACCCAAAGAGCATCTGTTGTCGTTAGCAAAGTTCCTATTATTTTTAAACAATGTGTTTATGTGCAATAGACTAAAATCTAACTGAATTTAAAAGACTATAATGCTTCAAAGATTTTAAGCGAAAAGAGCATTTCCAGGGTTGGTTGATTGTATCGATAGGATTCATATTCGCACCATTTGCTACAATACTTTAATTTAACATTTCTATTTCCACATTTTGGCTTGATTTCTCTTCAAAAATGTTTTCTTTTTATATATATATTTTTTTTCCAAAACCACTATTTAAACTAGTTTATTTAATCATTTACAAATTCTTTTATTTTATTTTTTTTTTTTTAAATAAACTGCACGCAAGTCTACAACTGCTACGAAGTAGTTAACCCAACTGGCATAGGATTGAAAAGCGTAATGTTCATATCGACAATACTAAATTTCAAAACTTCAAATGAATAGCAGTTGAGTTGAAAATCGGAATAGGGGCTTATTTATCTGATAAGTTCAGATACTTACAAGTTTATAACTTCGACCACTTTGAAAAATTAAAACAAATTTTATTTATGTAGGAATAGTTAAAGAATTCTAGTCAAGTGTCAAAGAAGAAGAAGTGTCATTTAAAAAATACCGTGATTATTGCTTTACATGGCAGTGCAGTGTGAAAATATTATTGCGTGTTGGGCACTTAGCAGCTGTCATTCATAATATTTGCAAGAAATTATCTGTCAAGAGGGCTGTTTGAGAAGTCAGTGGTGAATTGTGGAGAGTATATGAGTTTTACGAAAAAATAATATTCGCTAATTCTTCAAGGTTACATTTTCCTAATAGGGCATCTTAGGTTAGATTGAGTCCTAATTCTTCCAAAAAGCACGAAGAGGACCTTCAACTAAAAAAATTAATCCGAAGGTTAATAGTCTTCACGTTTCTAACCTATAAATAAGTACGGAAGACTCAAGTTCGGGTGTAACCGAATTTTCATCCGAAAATTGCATCTTCCAAGAATCTAAGGCGCGGAAATACCTTCAGGTGCATAAGTTTTGTTAGTTTTATGAAGTGTATAGTAAGTAACTCATATATTTGCCGTTATATGCGGTATAAAGTCATCCGGAAGTTCGAACATCTTTTTATGAGGCATACGGGGACTAATGAAAGTATTAACCCGATTAACACACAGATATACCACTATCAATAAATTATTCTCTCTGAATTTCAATTTTAAATCCGACAAATTCACCAATATTTTCGGTAAAAAGTCAACTAGTTATATGTACTGGAGTCAAATATTCAGTACCTATGGCCTTGAAAGATGGAGAAGTTCTAGGAAAATTCTCTGAACGTTTTTCACTTAGGAGCAGCCAGAAACGATTCTTTTTCATATATCTGAAGCAGCTCACGACGTACAGTTTTATACCTGGGTAGTCAGAAAAACATCCGTTTGAAAGAGAGCTAATGTGAAAATCTCTAAGCTAATAGCGAATAACGAAAAAGAAGGGGCTTCAACAGTTCTTTTGGATTTGGACAATTTTTGCCATATGGTGGCATACTCTCAAGGAATTATTGGTGCAAAGTTTTATCCAGTTATATTAAAGCACCTTGATGTGTACACCCGAAAGGAAAGTATCGCATGGAATATAAAATTGTATTCGGATTTCGCCCATTTTCACACTATAACATAATAATGGCACAGGAATGTTATGTATAAAATATGGTTTATATCAGTTAGACGGATATCAGAAAATGTGTTTTCAACTGAAAGTGGGGAGTGCCACGCCCATCCTTAAATTTTTCCCTCGGCTCCATTAAAGTCATATCATATCATATCGAGGATACAAGTTAATGTCTCTAGCATATTTAGTTATTGATTTATCGCCCGTTTAGTAATTTTTAACAGTACCGTTTAAAGGGCGGCAGAAAAGGAGAGTCCGATTACATCGATTTTTTGGATTGTAGATGGGGGTGCTAATGGAATTTTCTGAACAATACGTCTCTTAACCACAATATACCTAATTTCGCACTACTAGTTGACTTTTTGTCACATATATCGGCTAATGTGCAGGTTTAATATAAAGTTTTACCAACATGTATGTAAAAGTATTTCGCGGTTTTGATTCGTACATGTTGCAAGAACATAAAATCATTATCTACTGATTTGGCCTTATCTCAGTTCATCGACCCCTGGATATGTGCTTAAATTTGTTAAACCGGAAGCACCTTTTATTTAGAGGAGTGGTCATTTAAAGTTTAGGATGATTTTTCGTTCAGTAATTTAAATGTCTCTTCAGTAACAATGGTCCTAACTAATCGATTTAGACCAAGATGAAAGCATTGCTTGATAATTGTTAAAAAAATATTAACTACATGGTTTTCTGCTTAATGGGCAATGGGTAAATTAAAACCAGCAAAAATTAAGATTTAATAATACTATCAATGAGTAATGAATGACAAAAATAATTTAGTCTGTTAATGCGAATAATTAAAATATATTTTGGACGAAGGCAAAGCAGCCGTTTCTCTTTGTTTTCTAGTCTGCCTGTAAGTTTGTTTAAATAAATTATAT